CTCAGGAAGAACATGAAGGCTCTGCCAGTAACAAAGTAGTCAGCTGAATTGATTTTTCATAAACGATGCAAAGACCCCGGGTAATCTACCTCAGATCAGGATGAAACACTCAATTTTGTTGTGGCTATAGCACATTTGTTTATAATGAGCGGCAAGTTGTCTGAAGCCTTTAAAAAGATGAAGTAAGTTGCTGAGAATGTTTCCTGCTACCTTTCAAAATAAGTTCCCAGTCGTGTTCATGGCAACTGCACAGAAAATGTTTTGGACTCCGCGGTTGCTCCATAAATGTGATTATTTATAGAGCAATGTTTAGTCACAGCGTATCCACATCAGGTCTGCAGGGATCACAGTAATGATACTTTATGATCCAACAGTACAAATTCCTTCCATCTACTCCCACAAGCAGCCAAATTAAAGAAATCTTCAAAGGAAGCAACATTTTTAGAACATGGACTGAAACACTAATGACGTGTGATAAAAAAAAAATGTGTGATATGTGCAGGTTAGTTGTGCAGTCAACCCTGATCTACAAAAGAACAGTCAGACCAGACAAAATACACCCCTGCAGTGTCCATCTGCTGAAAACAAAGCTATTAGGGAAATAATAGCTTAACAGGATTATCTGATCATTATCGTTTGGACTGTTCACAACCAAAACACCATTTCTGAAAGCTCTTCAAAATGTAAAAGAGGTACAAGTGTACAGTCTATGGTTATACACACATACAAAAGTATAACCTACATAGACAAACACAAGTATTCCCTATATTTTCCGATCATTTCTATTTTTTTGTCCCTTTTTTAGCCCATTGTCTTTCTCATCCACTCCAGTCTTTACAGTTTGTCTAACTAACCTCATTCTGCATTTCAGCTGGCTTTTCAGTGTTTTCAGTGCACACCCTGCAGAAGTCTCCTTCCTCTCCCATGTGTCATCACTCATGTTACCAGTCATCTGGCCGGTCCTGCCAGAGCTGCATTCTGCTGCTGCTGCTGCTGCTGCTGACTCTCCTGTAAATGACCAGAGGCCGTGGTGTGTAAGACAGCAGTGCAGTGAGATCCAGTGTCTGCCAACAGGGATTAACGCTGTCAGAGGATCAGCTGTGGCATACTGGGTGGCTTTATAAAGTTACCACTGCCACTGGGCCATACACGGTGCACTTATCTGACACGAAGTGATGCATCTCTCTCACTTTATGAGGAATGAAGCTTTTGGGCCGAGATGAAAAGCTGATAGTAGATAACCTTTCCCCTATATATTTTCACGCTTATCAGATTCCAAAAAACTTTTCTATATTGCACAACTTTGCAGGAAAACATGAAAAAGCACTCTGATCTCACAAATTCAGGGTGGCTTTCCGCATTATAATGTTCTAATAGTCCACGTTCCCGTCATTAAATGGAGTTAATCCCATTTGTCACTCCACCACGCCTCATATCAAGCACAATAAACATGTTTAATGTGTTAACCTCTGCGGTCGAGGGAGACAACAGTTTGGCTGTGGAAGAAGCCTGGTGGCAGCTGACAGGCTGGATCAGCGTCTGAAGTCGGAGCAGGGGGCAGCTGCCAAGCAAACGGGCACCTTCTTATGAATGACAGCTATTCAGCTCCCCCTTGAACATCACATGAGCGCTGCCTCCTACTCAGCACAGGGCCACGCACAATATCGAGCTGTGTCTTCTGATACAGTAGAGCCGGCCGGGGAGGGCAGAGGGTGGGAGGGAGGGAGATGGAGATAACCTGCACTGTGACCTTGAGGAAAGCGATCGTCCATCGGTGACAAGAGGTGGAAGAGTCTGTGTGTAAGCGAGGGTTACCTGACCTGACACACCACAAGTGTGGTGGTGAAATTTAAGGCAGCTGCTTTTGGTTCTAACCTGAGAGAAAATATAGTTCTGTGTCATGCAGCAGTAAGTAGGGCAGCACTAGCCACTGGCACACAAAAAAAAAGGAAAAAAGAAAAAACATCATATTATTTTCTTTATACTTCTCTAACCTTTGCCCCTATTTCCCACAACTGCTTATTCATCTGTTATGAAAACAGACGACGCTAGGGGTTGATGCCTGCTTGCAAAATGTCACCCTTCCCTTACAAGCTTTTGTTTCTGCACCTCGAGCTCAGAAGTCAAGGTCTCACAACCCTGCCTCCCCTTCTTGTTGTGTTTCCTGACGTCAACATTAAGGCAGAGAAATGAGAAACTGACCCAATAACAAGAGCAAAGATAAGATAAGAGAGGGAGGGCTAGTGGAGAGAGAGCAGGAGTGATGATGATGATGACGATGATGATGATGATAAAGTTAGGTGGGGGGGTGGGGTGTTTAGACAACAAAAAAGAGCTGCAGTGACATCCTCACTGCTGGACCTGTGGTCATAAAAAGAGAGGTGTAGATGACGGAGAGTGAGAAACGCTACAAACACATTCAGCCGCCCTGTAAACATTCCTCCGCACACATGTGGGACTGTGAGAGTGAAAACAGTGACATCCCTCGGTGACAGCAGTGCCAGCTGGCCCTTAGCTTGATACTGCAGAAGATGCCTGGATGCTGCAGTGTCTCTGTCAGCCAACCAATCCTGCTGCCATTGATTCATGAGCAGAAACTCTGATGCTATGTAACAGCGCAGCAAGCAGTGCGTTGCGTAATTAAAAAAAAAAGAAAAAAAAAAAAAAAAAAAAAAAAGAAGCTGGTAAACAAGGAGGAGGGCGAGGACCACATCCTCCCCCAGAAACACCACTGCAACATCTGTAACGGATGCCATCGTAGGATTCATGCATTCATCGTCATCAGACCACAGGAATGTCTGTTTCTGACAGGCAGCTGGAGGAACAACACGTGCTATTGGTGACAAAGTGCACGCACACGCACACGCACACACACACACACACACACAGTCAACACCTCTCCTGTAGAAAACAAACATATACATTGGTGGGAAGACATCCTGTCTGTGGTTGAGAAACTGTTCTTATTGCATCTAAAATTCCTGAGATGTGACTCTCATTCCAGCGACTGCCATACCAAAAACACACACACACACACACACACACATGTAGCTATAGACACACACACACTCTGAATGTGAAGCTGACAGCAGTCTACTCACAAGTGCTTCTGAATTCTCTGCTGGGATCAGTGAAAAGACAAGATATCCTCTTTTCTCGTCTGTCAAAGGATTTGTTTCACACTTGGCCTCCTCCCTGCTCCGCTTGTCTTTCTGTCTTTCACCGGCAGACTAAAAAGCGAGAGAGCGCTTGAAGACAGAGAAAGAGAGAGAGAGAGAGAAATCTGCAGTGCTGGAACTCTGTCAGTATGCTAATGCCTGGATCTGCTCTGCCTCCCTCTCTGTTTCTCTCCTCCCTCCCTCCCTCACAGTCTTCTCCAAGGTCAGTGGGCAGAACTGCCTATTTAACTCCTCCCTTGGTGGACAATTACTCCCCTCCTCATACCCTCCTACAGACTGGACACACGGGCAGTAATTACCGTCATGATCCAGATTAACTCCTGGGTGTGCTCTTGTTGTGCTACGCTGGGCTGGGCTGGACTCAGCTAGCTGAGCCGGGACGGGACAACACACAGACAGGATTATTGTTGGGAGGAGGGAAGGATGGGGCGGGGGTAGACCCCACAAGGAGGGCCAGGGGCAGCCAGACAGGACGGGACGGGATGGGACACTCTTAAGCTCTGCAGGTGACAAGAAATAGAGAGGATGAGAGAAAGACACTGACTATAACAACAAAAATGCATCTACAAGGACAGAAACATACAGGCATGTCAGAAGTGAAAGAAATCTCTTGAATGCTGAGGGTGATAAATCAACGACATATAGACCAAAGTAGTAGAATTTTTTTTTTTTGGGGGGGGGGGGGAAAAACTGAAATTAAAGATGATGACTGATATTTTGAACTGTTTTGATTATATTTACGGTCAGAAAATGTGAAAACACGCAAATAAAAAAACCCACTCCCTAGCTGCAGTGTAATCTCCTGTGTTGGAGTCTGACACAGTGTCATGGAGAGAGACCAGGGTTAAATAGCTTAGGACTGGCAGCAGATCAGACCCAAGGAGACACAGGAAGTGATCGCCTGAATAGTCAACTATTCTCACCGTTTAAATGATGGATGCCAGATTATTTTCTCCCATTCAGTTGCTACATTATAACCACAATCAGGCTGCAAAAAGATCAGTGCAGCAACTATTCATGTGTGTGCAGTGTCTAATACCTGCTGACTTGTGCACGGTCCACTCTCTGTAGAGTGGGGGTCAGGAGATTTGTGTGTGTTTAGCTGCATCACTCAGTGGCTTTAGATCCTGTGATGGGATTAAAAGGGGGGAAGCGTCTGATGGGATGAGACAGAACTCAATACATGAGCAGGAAGTATTCCTTCGCCACAAGGAGAAGAGAGAAGCCACAACAGACTTGTGGTTGAAAGGAATTCAATTATTAGTTTGAGGGAAATGCTGCCTTGTTTCCAAAAACAGCACAATTCTTACTACTGTAAACATGCTGGCTACCATTTATTATCAACTGTTACTGCCTATTATATTCACCTCGTAAGAAAAACACACACTCCTAATATAAAGGAGAAGCATCAGTGATCAAAATGGAATCGGTTACCTTTGACAAACCCCACAGCCAGAGTGATCAGACACTATAACAATACACATTCCCCTTCATTATTTTGTGACCTGTTCATAATTCTTCCATTAAAAGTGAAGCGCTCATAAAATGACCTCCTTTCAGAGACTCCTACAAAACATCCATGGGAATTGGTTACATCATCTGCAGCAAGGGAGCAGTCCTTGTTGTGAGTACAGCGGATCTGGTTTTCTGGTAAAGTGCTGTCACCCTCTGGTTGTTTGTGGTAAGTACAATGCCCGTGAGTATGCATTTTCTATTGGATGGATGACATGAGATGACAAAACTGATGGAATCTAATCAAATCTAATGTAATTAGTGGTGATGTACTTAAAATTCACAGACACGCCAAGTGATCGATTGTTTTGTATTTCAATAAGTTTGGAACAGCATGCGCAAAAAACAAACAAAAGAAATACAATAATTAAACATGCAACATCCATCAAATGTAAAGTTGGGCCAGCCAACAGATCCTTATCACAACGTACAACAGATAGAAATAGATGAAAAAATAACAACTAAAAAATAAAATTAAAAAAAAGCAACTGAGGATGAACACAAGTAGATGGGCTGTTGTTACAGTACAGAGCCAGCAGATGGAGGCATACAGTGTGAGATTGTTAACAAGACATTGAACACTGAGGTGAAATGGACAACCAAAATCTAACCCTTCTTACAGTGGTTGATCACTGTTACCTGGATGTCACTTCAATTCAGCTTCCACACCATCAGTCATAACAGAATATTCAAGACTTTTATGGATCTGACTATTGATGTATTTTAGGCTGGTAATCACAGAATGAATGACAGTAAAATAGGACACACAGAGAGCTGCTGTTGCCCCAAGTGCTTAATCTGTTCAGGTGAGTCCAAAAGGCACATCACATTGCAAAAATGTGAAGATGGGAAATACTCTGGTAACATCTGTAGAATGTTTCAATCACTGCCAAAAGTTGTTGTTAGTGTAGCGAGTATATATAATCGACCACATAATACTGGTAACGCACATATTTTTAGGTCCTGCCTTTAAAATCCATAATTTCCTCTTTTATTTCATTTAAATAAAATATAACTCCAGGCCCCAAAACACCACAAATTATCAGGGATGGGGTGTGGGGTGTCCAAAAAACAGGTAACCTAGAATGATTTCCAACCAGTACAATGACTAAGACATTTAAGGTGGACATTACATGAGGCAAGGTCAATCCAGAGAAAATTTTAAAAGCACATAAACATGGCTGGTTGAAGTTAACCATAAGTGACAGCAAATACAGTACACGTTTCTCCTTCCTGTGCTATCAAAAAGGCAAAGCAAACTTTAAATACTGCATGGAATAGAGATGGTGATTGAGTATATAGTCAATACAGGATAGTGTTGAAACAGAATACTGGTCTCTGTGACTTTCCCTCATGAACAAGTTCATCCACATGACCTATCAAACTGTCTTTTCACTGATTTGTCCATTAGCAATCTCTTTTTTTTTTTTGAAAGACCTGAGCTGTACCAAGTAGTCTGCATACAGTGCATCAATTACAGCCAAATACTGAATACATACAGTACTAACTGTACATCATTGTCAAGTACATACTGTCATTAATTTGTTAAGTATTTGTAACACATTTTGCCTGCATCTTTAAAATCCGCCTTTGAAGTCTTGTTTGAAGATTTATCTGTTTCAAGGCCATTTTGCTGTCTGTTAGCTGCTAAACATAAATAAAAACAAGTTACAAGACAGGAGTTGAACATGAAAAAGCAATTATGTAAGTGTAAGTCAAAATGTCAGAAAATATCAACTCAGAAAAACTCTGTGCTACTGCAGTAAGTAAGGAAAGAAAAAGTGGTGTTTATGAGTGTTATTAGTCTCTATGGATGCCCCTTTGTGCGTACTATCTGAACTAGCTTGCTGGCTGTGAACTTTGACCTTACTGTAGGCTCGTACAGTAGATTGGGTCCGGTGAACTACATCACAGTGTCAAGGCATAGCATGGCTCATCATGGCAGAAAAGATGAAGTAGCACCTAATGGTTATAAAGAGGTTAAGGGCCTGCAATGGAAAACAACAAAATACCAGTATGGTTGGTTAAAATAAGAAAATGTCTTGAAAATACATGTCATGTGGGGTTTATCTGTTAAGTGAAGGCAGCATGAGAATGAAACCATGACACAGAATACTGAGTCTGAAGAAATGCAGCAAAAAATGTCCATTGTGTGGATCCACAGTGGGCAGAACTCGGCATGATCCTTCCCTGATCCACAACGAGGTGCAGGACAGAAACACAGGCAGGACCAGTCCAGACATGTCCTTTCGTCTCATTCCAAAGGTCCAGCATATTCTGTTCACATTGTTCTTTATTTCATAACACTGTCTCTGGTTTGACATACTGCAGCTGATGCGATTCTGTATCAACCTGTATCAACCGTCCTGTCATTGAGTATTTCATGAGGGGCGGCCTCTTCACTTAGAAATCTCAATGAGCCACCTCGTCACTTCAGTTTAGCAGGACTATCTCTCTGCTGTACACCCTCAGGGACTTCCATGGGAAGCATTGTCAGATTAGGCGAAGCAGGCAGGCAGGGTCAGTGGCATGACTGGTTAGAGCTACAGACTGGAGGCTGGGGCTTCAGCTGTGGTAGCTGGGCAAAGCTGCCTGTTTCTGGGAGAGACGCAACAGCTCCTCCCTGATGGCCTTGATCAGGGAGGCAGAGGAGTGGGTAGGAGGAGATGTATCCAGGGGCGGTGGGGCTGAAAGATAGCCCACCACAGGGGGATCTATGTGGGAGGGGGGCGCAGAGGGCTCTCTGATACCACTTCTAGGCATCTGGAAGATAGAGGAGGATGAGTAGTCAGGACAGTCCAGGAACTGAAGGCAGGAAAGACAGGAAAAGAGAAGAAAAAGAGGAATGAAAAATGAGGAAAATGGAGGAAAAATGTAGAAACTATCGAGACATAAAAGTAGAAGAAAATATCAAGTGGTAGAAATTTTTCAGAGCAGCATGGCATTAATAAAAAACTAAACACGTAAAAAATCAGGAGAGATCTTAAAAGAAGAAAAAAATCCCCTCGGCCAAATAAAGTAAAAGTTTCTCAACTTGGCCTCATTTCATTTCAGGTTTAATGAATCTGAAATGAATAAATCTATGATTCACTCACTGCATCTTTTTCAGGCTCGACCCTGGAGAAGTTGTCATCATGGTAGTGGTTCCAGCCGATGCCTCCGTTCTGGCCTGGAGGAGCCCTGACCCCTGCTGGGTAACCATTCATCCGGCTGGACAATCCCACCTGTGTCAGATGATGGAGCTGGGCGCCTACACACACAGACAGAGACACACGCACACACACATCACACCACATCAGAGCTACTGTTCCTAACACTCAATCCTCAGCTGCCCCTTTTGCTGCAATCCTACTTTGATGCAATCATTACAGTCTGAAAAGCAGTCTGTCAGCGCTGAGCTGCACTCCGTATGGGAAATGCCAGAATCCATTTCTATTAGTCTAAGTCACATGATTGCAGCAGCATCACGCCAGCTCCTTTAATAATTTAAGACAAAGACAAGGCTCTCTGAGTGTGATGGGTTTATGGGGTGAAGGTGTGTGTCTGTAAGAAACAGCGCTGTGGCCCACATCCAGAGGAGATCGCAAATAATGTCCACAGACAAACCCTCTGTATAAAGACAATAAATTAGGTTTCAACCTTCAAGTATTAATGCTTGAGATGTGCATTTTGTAATCTTTTCTTTTGAAAATGTTGTATACTTAAATGAGGCTGTAAGAAACTGGGATGAAGATGTGCACATGATGGGCTTCATTTGCAGTATTAGCAGTTTGAGGGTGTTTGCATGAGCTTGTGTATGCAATTTCCTCTTGTACCTGTAGTCCCCCCCACTGGTCGCGGTCTGGCAGATGAGGGGAGCTCATCAGCGTATAGGCCCCTACTGGAGTACAGGCTGTCTGGCTGGAGCTGCTCACTGTGCCCTGCTGTTTCTCCTGGTGGCAGGTAGCTGGAGCCAAGGCCCTGCCTGAAACACAAAGAAATTAATTTTCATTCACTTGCTTTTTAATGAAAACATTTAAAATAAAGTGTTTTTCTTAGTTGCTGTCTCCACAAGGTCATGCCAACAGAGCCTTTAAAATACAGGATGTGCGTGTCCAACTCAGCATTTTCTACAGGCAGGTGTCTAGGTGGAGTTTTCACTGTAAAGACCAATAACACTACTTTGTGGTTAAGCCAACCAACGAAACAGCTCATACTGTGTATGTCATATATATGTTTGTGTTGGTGCTTGCATGTATGACCATCAACAGGGTCGTCTGTAACTCTGGTTTCACAGTGTCTTCTATGTGGTACAACATATAACTTAAAATTTGTCTTATGCAGTTGATTTAGTCTTAAATGTTCTCACAATTCACAACCACACAGTACATAAAACAAAGGGTTTGACAGCTGCTGACAGTATTTTTTCCACTGGGCTCAAATTTCCACTTGTGATAAGTTGTTTGAATGTCTGTGTGTGCATGGGTGTCTTGGTCTTTTTGGAGCCAGTTAAGAGACCAATGCTTGGACCTAATCCATTAAACCAATAAAATAAAAATGACTCTTCTTTCATTATTCATGAGGCCCAATGCACTCAATGCACCTGAAGGAAAATATTACCACTGGTGAAGTGGAAAGAATCAGGCTGCGCCGATCAATAAGAAATCACTTTGGTTTAAGAAAAGGGGGTCAAATGAGGATATAATTTATTAATTAATACATGAATACTCAATTTTCATAGACTGCTCTACTAACCTTGGTGTCAGGCCTTGGACTGAAGGAGGGGACATGCCCAGCTCAGTGAACCTCTGGGGGAGACAAAGAAAGACACACAGCACTTAGTAAAAAGCGAAACAGAGGTACCTTGAGATTACAGGGGACATTGTCTGCATTTGTGGTTCTTAGGAATAATCAACTTACAAATAATATTCATACTATATCAGGATGTAGAAGAATCAAATATTGTATTTAATGCAAAGAGAGTTTGCAGTGGATGTCCATATTTCTTAAGAAAGCAAAGCTGCACTGTGCCTATTGTATTTATAGCATATTTTGGCAGTGGCGCTCAATTCATGTAGTAAACGATGTTTGTTTTTAGCAAGCATGGTTGTGTTGGATATCATTCTTTTTTTACAGCTCACCTTTTACAGCATATTAAAGCACTGAACCAGCAAAAGCAGAACCAGCAAATGGCTTTTCATGGCTCCACTGCTCATTGTTAAGTCTCTCTCTATGGCTGTTACTGGGTGAAAGCCGGTGTTGGAATGTAGGGTCAGGACAGTCATTTTTAGTAACAATTTTTACAGCTGTATTCATTTAAATATGGATTTAAAAAAATGCATGTGACGTGTTAAATTAGCATAGTGACAGCTAAGCTATACACAAGATAGGAATATGTTTAGTTGAACCATAAAACAACACAATATTGCCATGAGGCACTGTGCTTCTAGTTTTCCATTGAGAGTGTGGAATGCATGGTTGTTTTAACACTCACAATGCTGACAGCATGCGTAGGCCTCACTGCTAATCTGAGTGATTTAATGGGCAACAATCTTTACAGTTTCCTGTAACACTAATATAATGCTCTTTCATCTCTAACAACTCATAACTTTTCCCTTCTCATATAATACCCATGGGTACTGAAAACCTTTATTTAATTTTAACTCAACTCACTACCCTTCAATATGAATTTCAAAGCCATGGATATGCTATAGATAACTTCTACTTTGTCTCTTGACACAGTGTGTTCTACATGCACAATATTATAGTGTAAATATAAGGTAAAAAAAAATACAACTGTGAATACTGAGTTTATTGTTCAAGAAATCTTCAGAACACGTCGATGTCTGTATGTTCTGTGAAACCAGCCTACACTGACAAGAGCTAATGCAGATCAAGCATATGCAGGGAACATTACTGTAAAGTCTTAGGAGATGTAGATAGCTGACGGAGGTTGTAAGGTCGCAGCTCTATCTGTGGGGGCGACAGATGGAGGAATACTTAACTGATTAGTTTGCTAAGAGGACACGATTAAACGTGAAGCTATAGGTTTCATGCTGCGAATGAACTGAAAATAACCCTGAGAAAGGGAGGAGATAGTGAATACAAGAGATTTTACATGTGTCTGTTTAATGTTTGGGCTATTACAAATTTCAACAGGGATCCTGTTTCTGTTGGTCTGTCCTCAGATTAGTGAAATGAACAGATGCAGGACAGAATACAGCTTACAGGATCTTAAACTAGCAAAAGCTTAGATGCCAGGGAGAACCATTTGTTTCCAACACAGAGTTTTGGTCACTGCTACATGAAAACAGAATGACTTGATGCTCACTGAATGGTTAATGCTCTATCAACAGTATCCATTAGATATAAGTGCCAGGGATGGCTACTTACACCAGGGAAAGGGCCAAGACCTTGGTAGGAAGGACCCCAGGGTCTGGGGCCCCGGCCTGGAGGGCTGGAGGCAGGGGGGTTGCTGTTGACCCCTGGGAGAGTGATTCCCGCTGTGCTGCCCTGGGAGGTGGGCGACACGAGGGCAAAGGCATCGTCCAGCAGGGAGTGCATCTGCTGCCGCGCCTCCTCTATGGAGGGCTGAGGGGGCATGTAGGGGGGTGGGGGAGGGGCGTGACCTGGAGGAGAGGAAGTGGGGCCCAGGAAGACATCATCAGTGGGGGAGGGGCTCCTGTGAGGGGATCCTGGGCCTTGGTCGGGGTCCGACTGGGATAAATACAAACATATTTACTTGCTGTTAGAAAGGACACACAGTGTATGTTCGATTAAACAGATGTCATGATGCTTCTGCACTACTCACTACGTAGGCCACATTGTTGACCCCAGGACACTTTCTGTAAGCAGCATCACTGTCTTCAGTGATCAGGTGGTCTTTGTCTGCATCCATCATGCCTCCATTCAGCTGCTCCTTCATCCTCTGTTTGGGAGAGCGCCTCCCACGACCACTGAGAAATAAATGGAGGAATGTTAATTAATTTATGAGTAAAAAAAAAAAGAAAAGAAAATCAGCCCTACACACACACACACTTTCTTTTCAACAACAATTTTTCCACCACAGTACCAAACAAGAGCATTGACCCAGAACATGAACCCTAACCTCTTTTTCGATTCCATGAAGATGGAGGGCATCTGAGCATCTGGATCCAGGATCTTATCTATTTGTATCTGTGCTTTCTGATAGATGCGATCCTGGTCCTTCACGTCTCCAAGGCCACTGGTCACGTCATCCATGGCAGGGAAGTCGTAGTGGCCTTTCCTCTTAGCTCTCAGACGTATCTTGTTACGATGGTGCTCAATTTCTGACTTGTGCCTCAATGCTACCTGGATCTGAGGAGAAAATTACTTGATTACAAAACGTGCCTTAAAATGTAGGGTAACAATATTACATGTACACACTTTGCAAACAGCGAGTGACAAATCACAAGCACTACAGCAGCGTCAGAGTAAATGTCTATTTAAAAAAGTAAATTAGGGAACTATATCCTCCAAAGAACTTGCAACACTGTGATCTGCTCCTATCAAGTCTTCTTTAGTCCATTTATAAAAGTAAAAAAAATTAATTGTTGTAATTTTCTCATGTGAAAAAGAAGAAAATTTGACAGCAGATAACAGTGCCACCAGTCCAGATACAGTTTTTTGCGCTCTTGAGAAACAGAAGTGCATGTGTTTTAGAGAATCGTGAATCGTCTGTCAATATCTCACGACAAAAGCCAAACCAAACAGAACCAAATAGTTTATACTTTTGGAATAATTTATTTGCTAAAAAAGAGAACAGTTTTTGCTTTCCAAGAAAGTCAAAAGAGCAAACCTCTTTGTTAATTTGGTTGGTGTCTGACAGTTTGCCATTGATGGGTGGGCTGTGCAGCGGTGGGACCGGCATGGGCTGCATGGCGATAAGCTGGACTTTGTTGGGGAGTCTCCTGCTTGCGTCCGTGGCACGAGACATCCGATCGACATGTTCAAAGATGGAGGCCGATGACAGATGCTCGTTCGTACCATTCATAGGTGGAGGACCTGAGGAAGGAGGCAAACAAGTGGGAATAACTCAGTCATAACACAGTCAGCACAGTGCAGTTATTGGAAGTCTAAATACTAATAAGTTAAATTAGGTAACAGAGCACAGACGACAACAGCGCAAAGATCTCCATGGAACATTTACCTTTTATTTGATTAGCATGACTATAAAATGTGGAGTAAATGTTTCCGGTGTTAACATGAAATTGACAAGGATTTCTATTCCCAACTTCCTGTCAAACAACGGCTTTGCCTTTGTTTGTGAAGTTGCTTGTTTCTACACTGTGAGAGACACCTCAGAAGACAGTGATGGATGGTGAGAGCAAGCTGAACACAAAGCTACCACAGAAACAGACAGACAACACACAGACACAGCTGCTGGGGGTCAAGCCTGAGGTCTACAGAGACACAGAGGGAGAGCGAACAAACTCTTACCAATTCTATTCTTGCCTGCAAACCACAATAGAAAGGAAAGTGAGTTTTATTAAGATGAAGGAAGTCAAATACAAGCACCTTATTAACTGTAAGTTAATAATAAAAATAAAAAAGCCAAGAGAATTGAAGACTGGCCACCATGACTGCCATTTTAATTTTTAGGAATGAAAAGAAAGTAAATGAGAGAAGCACAGAGAGAGAGGGAGGGAAAGGCAAGAGTCATTTAGGTAGATACATTTCCACAGCTGATAAAAGCTTCTCTTCTGGTCTGAAAGAAAGGAGCTGCTTCTGATGAGCAGAAAACGCACTGATCAAAACAAAAGGCTGAAGGAACAAAAAGAAAGATGGTTCATTACATAATACTGAGTATGTCTCATGTACAATCTACTTATAAACATTGTGGCAGAGTGTATAAATCTCTCAGGCTGAGATTTATCATTAACAAAACAGAGACCATTCCTCTGTGGGTGCGTCAGGCTGAAGTCTGTGTGCCTGACTGCGTCTGGCTCCAGCATGTAGTCTCTGAGTGGCACTGCAGGCTTGAATCTATCAACAAGCTGTCAGATAGAGTAACTTCAGCTATTTTTTTCTCCTCCTATTCCCGGCTCACTCCTCTCTCTCTCTCTCTTTGGACTTCTTTCGACCATTGACTAGAGTTCCTACCAGGTGTTTCTTTTACTCTCACCGTTTCCCTCTGTAATCTTTGTGTCACTGCTTGGGGGTGACGCTGCACTTTTCCTCAGTATTTCTCTGTTTCGTCTTTGTTCATCACTTCACAGTCTCTTTTGCTCTCAGTCTGACCCTCTTGTCAATCAAATCGTGCCAAGTGGAGTTGCTCTCTCTTTATCTCTTTCTATCTACCCAATCCCTTCAGTTTCCACCTCCCCCTCCCCCTCCCACCTCGTATTTGCTCTCTGTGTTTGGAGGAGTGATGTGAGTGTTGCCAAGGCCACTTGCCATTTAAAACATTGATGGGAAGCTTACGGGTCTGCTTGCTGTCACTGGGCGTGGCGTGGGCTCTCAGGTTCTCCTCGGTGGATTCCCGCTCACTGGAACGGTCACTTACCACAGAGTCACCGTCTGACGGCGAGATCCTATCAGAAAAACACACACACACACACACACACTTACATAAATAATAGAAGCCCAAGAACATACTAACATGCTGAAATGCCATGCATAATCAAAAACAGTGCTTTTCCAGAAAGGTAAAAGCTGGGGGGAGTCTTCTAAGAAATGATAATGTGATATGAAGCTCGTAAAGCTAAATAGAAAAGTATTTTCACTAAGAGAATGATTAAAGTGACAATTAATTTGTCCTGGCTGATTATAAAGTGAAGGAAACAGCAAATAACTGTGTTGGAGTCATATGTAGTCATATATAGTCTATTAATCATAGCAGTTGGTTAGGAGGTATTAGTAATGACGGACATATTCAAGCAAAACCCAGCTATTATACAATCGAATTGTTGAAACTATTTACAACAGTGCTACGGTTAAAAGAAAGTTAAAATAAACCCTGCAAACAATGAAATAAATAAATATACAGTCTAACTTTATATACTGTAAGCTATATAGACAGTCTGCAAGAGCAAATGAAGATCCCTCACTGTCAAATGCATAAATAATTGATCAGAGGATCTGTCAAAAGATTTTAGTCTGGTTGAGTGACTGTCCCAACCGAGGTAAGTGGAAAATCAGAGTGATGGGGTGAAAAACACAAGCTCTGCTCAATATCTAAATAAATATCTTAAAGTCTGTAAAGAGAAGAGGAATAAAACCAAAACACATTTCTGTCTGTGAAAATTGGTGGATAAAAAAAAAGAAAAGAGGACAATAATAAATGATCTGTTGACCATAACATAAGCGAGTAAAACACGGCACAAACATAGGCTGCTTATGATAATTCAGGGCCTCCTTTTGGTACTTTTTTTTTGTTACATACACTATAACAGCATGACCGATATAGACACAACCTGATGGAATTTAATATTTCCATTTACTATATTTATTTGGACCTACTGTCGACAAGTTTTCATACTAATTTTCTCCTCCTGCCCTGCACAATCAGCAGTACTGACCTTCCTCGCCTCCGGCCGCTGCGGGACGCTTTGGTGGACGAGGCTGAGTTTTTGGATATGGGTGTGGGGATCTCCCCATTCTCAGATGGACTGAGGCCATCTTTAATGGACACGGGGAGGGGCCCGGGGCCAGGCCCTGGCGGGACAGGCTCCTGAATCACCATGACATCATCCTTACTCTGCTGGCCAAGGTGCAGCTTGGCAAAGTCGAAGCCTTTCACACTGGGAGCCTGCAACTGAGGAGGTGAAAAGGAAAGAGAGGAGGAATACACAGTTTTAGGAAATAGGGAATGGAAAGACAGGTGGAAAGTCATATGACAGAGAGAGGTAAGGGAGAGAGTGAGGAAAGTTTGAAAATACTATAAATATTTACTAAAGAAATATTCAGTAATGTGGTGTTCATCATCAAGTGCAATCATACTGACATATTTTGCATGATGACATGAGTCTGCAGTTTAAACCACAGCAGTGACAATGTTGCATTGAAATTTCTCTCAAGACCAAGAGTGGTGAGAGACAGCCAGACAGATGGAAAGACAAGTTTGGAGTTCATAATTAGGCTGAATAACTGCTGAATCGGTGTACAAGAGGGAGACTCAGACAGACAGTCATTAATGAATAAAGGGAAAGACTGTGAGACGCAGGGACAGGGATGAGAGTTGTGGGGAAACATTGAGCTGCATGCTCTCCTTTGAGGTGGTGGAGGATGGAGGCTGGAGACTGAAGCAGAGAGACTATTTGAGTGTAAAGCCCTCGAGACTTTCCAACAGCGAAAGAGTAAACAGACGATGTCAGATCTCAGTATTTGATCTCAGTAAACTTGCAGTTTGTGAAACTCTTGTCCTATGACACTGAAATGCGGCTACACAAGAAGAGAAGAGTGACATGACATGTTCCTGTTAATTCTCTGAATTATATGTACACTCGCTGAGTTTATTGAAGCAAAATGTGTGGCTTAAAGAGGCTTGTTGGTATAAACCTGCTAATCCAGCGTGATGCTTGCCAGTATGAAACTGCTAATCCTGAGAGAGAGTATGTGTACATGTTTGTGTGTGCTGCTCTCCGCAGCATATAAACAAGGCCAGTCAGTGAAAAAGAAGGCATTCAAAAAGCTGCAGCTGAAATAGTAAAAGCCGTTTCAGTATAATCAACACTGAGGCTGAATGAAAGCAAACAGACAGCTCGTGATATCTCCCACACATTATAGACAGTAATTACTAGTGTGGTCTAAGGGTAAATTGGGGAAACACTCACAACAAACAGTTGATACATCCCAAAATGACATCTATAAATCTACTTCACCACATCTTAAGACAAACACACCAATACTAAGTCCATAGTGAAATCTGCCATATGTATAATACTGGACTTATTGTGTCTGGTCATTTAAACTGGGGAAAGAAGGACCCTAATGTCCACTAATGCAAACACCCACTAGTCTCTATAGCTACTACACAGTATACCTCCTCCTTGGCTCTCCTCCCTTTAGACAACATTTTCATTCTCTCTTCTTTCTTCATTCCCTCTGTTTTCTTCTGCATTGCTTTGCTCTCTTGTCTTCTGTGCACTTCTGGTTTCATCTCTTTCTTTTTAATTTTCTCCTTTTCCTCATCTTTGTCCTCATCTTCTTCCTCCTCCTCCTCATCTTCCTCCTCCTCCTCCTCTTCTTCTTCTTCCTCCTCCTCCTCCTCTTCTTCTTCCTCCTCCTCCTCCTCCTCACTGCTCATACTCTTTTTGCTCTTGGGAAGAGCTACTGGTCTCTAAGCAGAAGCAATGGTGGATAGTGTAAATACTTCGAGTGATGATGTTGTCGTCTCTTTACCTGACACATGCCGAAAACTCAAACTCTGGACTATTAAATATTGACTACTGCGTTCTTTATGTAATTAACTGCGTAAGATTAGAATAATTACCAGAGAACAGCCAGCATTCACAGCAAATATACACACAAACTAGGTCTCCACTACATCTTTTACAAACCACCAGACACTGCTCTGTACCTTCCCCTTTTCAACCTCCTTCTCTTCTTCCTCCTCCTCCTCCTCTTCTTCTTCATACTCCTCTTCCTCACTAAAATCTATATCCTTTTTAATTGGAGGGAGTTTCTGGCGAAGGGAGGTCCTTGACTCTCTGAATGACGTAGTAGGCTGGGAGAAGAGGAGTGGTGTTAAGTGACAGATGATTGTGTTAGGCAGAGAGGGCAGAGTAATTGATTCTGCACTTTAGATTCATTGCATTAACCCAATGCGAAGGCTTCAGTTCACAGCGCAGCTCAACCAAAGAAATGCATGTGGAATGAAAGACAGAGGCAGAAAGAAAAGAAAAATCCACATACATGGACCCCTGAAAACAGACTGGTTGTAATTCAGCATGCAAACAAAATTATTTTTAGGAATAGATTAGAATGGTATTTTTGTGTCAGCAACATTGGAGTTAATGATGAAAGAGTCCCTGGTAGCTGCTGCACCACAGAGAGTACAAAGCTCTCTGGTACTGTTGTTGGTCAGTGCAGCACAGCGGAGATTCCTGCATGCGTTCTTCACAGTAATGAAACTATCCAAAATAAAAGCCACTTTTAAATTGTATCACACATGATTAAACTCACTGGAACAACGGTTTCTGCCCATCCTTCTCACCAAAACAAAAAGCATAAAAGACAAAACACTGTATGATAGCATTTTGCCCAAGCCCAGAGCTTGGACTTTTAAAGCTCTGGGATTTCTTTGGGCAGTAGAATTGCTATCACAATTAATTAAGTACCACAATTAATTAGTTGTACTACACACTGGACTATATGGGAGGTGTGTACTACTCTAGTAAATCTAAACACCAGAATGATTAATAATTCAGCATCACATAACCCTTGCTTGTTCTTTGACTCTATAGTAAACTTGACCCTGTGTCTCTCAGAGTGAACTGATGCAGAAAGTATAAGAAAACCTCAAAAAGGTTTTAAATAAAATAAAAGGGCAGACGAAGCCCATCTCAGCATCATGACTTCTAATCCAGTTGAACATGTCCTTTAATAAGTCTCTCCACTGGAATCATTAAAGTTTTACTAATCTAATCTAAAAGAAGAAATGATGAAGAAGTTCAGATTCTGTGCAGTCCTACAGCACATTGATGGCAATGACAGATACACCCCGTTAATTAGCAGTTCATTTGAATTTAAAAGTGGTCTCTGCTTTCTGGCTTCCCAGATCAGCTGAACCTTTCTACGCAGATCTCGGTAATGTTTGGCAAACTAGTTTGGCTGTACAAGACACAACATGGCATATTAAAATATGAAACTCTGATACAACGAAGCCTTGGTCAGACACTGTACAACACTGATAGGACTCTACCTTCTGTCTCTGCTGGATGGAGGTCATGGCGTCTGGCTGGAACTCCAGCTTGTCTGTCCGACACAGTTTCCAGTACAGGATTGAAATGATGATGATGACGACGAGGAGGGGAATCACCACCCCGATGACGATCCACATGTTGGTATTCTCAGCATCAGAGGGTGAAGCCGTCACTTTCTCTACAGCTTTAAACAAACAGTTAGACAGAGGGACATGGACGTTTTTAGTTTGAAGTTGACCTTGACATACAAATATGGCACATATATTATGTTACAAGAGTCCTTTCATCTGTGTATGTGGTATAAACATTTCAAACATACCCCTTTATTCCCTTTAAGCCTATTCACAAACAGTTTAGGGGGGGTGCTAAGCTAAACATGCAGTATTGTTGGAGTGCTGACTCTTGTCTAACTGCTCTAATCTTCAATGCAGACCTTCATTAGTTTTAATTAACACTCATTTCATCCCCTGGGAAAGTACCGTAAGAGAACACAGTCAGCACAGAAACACAACTCCCTTGAGGTGCTCTCATTAGGCCGTCATCCCTTGTTTAGATTCTTAATGAGGAAGACAGGCTTGTTGTGTAGTGTGTACAAGGGGAGGTAATTAGCTCAAATGTTACTATAAACATACAAAGGAACACATTGTGCCGGCAGTTAGCCTTATCCTAGTTTTTTTATGTGAAGCTTGTGAACAATTTTATATATTGCATCATTTCTCTTTCTTTCCCTCTGTTTTCAACACATATTTAGCTCGGCTTCACACTAAATAGGGAAGTCCATTATTACTAATATTCATAACCTGCATTGCAACTCTACCAGCACTCAAGAAATGGCAGTGACTCAGTGTTTTGCCCTCAGACACTTTGGCAATGTGGATGCTCACAGACATGGAAGCTCTAATTTAGTTTGTTTGAGGACCATCTTCTCCATCACTACATCACTTAGAAGCCCTTGAATGGTACTCACGCTGTGCTAAAATACCCTGGACACGATATCCCAAGACGATGGCAGCTCTTTGAACGTCCAGGCTGTTGAGTAGGTTGGCTGTTTGGACTGCAGGCACCCTCTGACCACTGGGACCCTCCACAAAATACACTATCTCCAAGGGGTGGTCCGCACCCGCCAGCCGGCTTGCACGTACAACCTTGGAGTTGAAACAAGGAAGGATGGTACAATTTGTCACTTGTCCAAGTATCAGTATGAAATAATGTGGTACATGAGTAAGTGCACATATAAATGGTTTGATTTTTTAATTTCTTTTTAATTAAGTGAGAGTCAGAGAGATGTCAATAAACACATGAAAATGTATAAAATAACAGGTTTATATCATCAGAGCAACTTAAATCCATCACTGTATTCTATTATCCAAGTCCTGCATTCATTGTACTGAGCTATTGGAGAATGAGTATCGCTTTAAGACACAAAACCGTTTCAGGAAGTTTGAATCTTTGGCAAGGCCATGGGAGATTTGGGACTGCATCCATAGACTTAAACAGAACTCTTCAGTTTGTTTAGCCATGTGTTTGGGGGCTTTAGTATGGTGGAATATTAAGGAAACATTTCTTGTTACACAGAACACATTGTCTTGTACGTGGAAAGGATTCCAGGACCTATTCCTTGGTTGTTATTCAGTTACACAGAGCAATCAACAGACCTAATGAGTACTATGAAATGACTGCCTGTGCTGTCAACAACTCTCTTTTAAACTGTTGGCAGATATCATGGCATCTTATGTCCTCTTCCAAACATAAACATGTCCAGATGTTGGAAAAACACTCAATAGACCTTACTCCTTCTTTGCGTTGCTCAAGGACCCACACTTGCAAACCTCACAGCTGTGATGTTTACTAATCATCTTATAAAAGGTTTTCTGTCACCATGAGCCCATGTTTTCCTCTTTTCTTTCTTTCTTTCTTTCTTTCTTTCTTCCTATTTGTTTCTAACATTGAGAACACAAACACAGCAAGGTGCAGACTAGTCTGAGCTTCAACTCAAGTCCATCAAAATTAAAATGAGTTGTGCAACGTGTTTTAATTTTGATGTTCCCATTTGTTGTCACCTGTAAGTGTTCTTTCACCCTGCTACATTTGTTTCTAATAGACAATGCTCAGGCAAGTGGAGAAGAAGCGCTTCCAAAAATAAACATAGGATCCATGGGAGATGAGGCACTACACTCTCTACATTAAGAACGGGTTGACTAATGAAGGTCCTAATGAGCAAAGTGTCACAATTCCAATAGTATGGATGACTTTTTAATGGTGACCATGGTACCTCATTTTCTATGGAATCCTGTAATACTAATCATTTTTTTCAGTTTTTGTGACTGCCGAAACTAAAATTAAAGCACTAAGGCACTAGTTGGCTGCCTTAGTTTCTTTGCTGGATTGAGACTTATTATACAAGCCCCTGATAAAGCATCCCAGAGAAACGACATGTTCTCTTTCTGAGCTATCGCTTTTTCTTAAAATAGCTGTTCACATTTACATTCCTCTTAATGTCATCAGGCACAGAAATAACATGCCAAATATTTCAGTTGTATTGTATGTATTTGTATGTGTTGTACACCTCTTTAAACACAATATGACACCGGTGTAGGTTTACTTGTAACTTCTGCAAGTGTTTTTAGAAACAGCCCACTCATGATATATCATCTCACGTTCTGTATTCCCATTAGAGTATTCATTGTTTAAATATTTCTCCATGCTGCCTAATATGTGTGTGTGTGTGTGTGTGTGTGTGTGTGTGTGTGTGTGTGTGTGTGTGTGTGTGTGTGTGTGTGTGTCTCCCTCTGCATGCCCTGAGGCACAGTGCAGTCTGCTGTCTGCATTACTGGAAAGAGTAAAGCGCAGGTCATGCCTGGGCTGACACAGAAAAACGGCTGGGCAGGCTCCCTCATCCACAGTCTAATCCAGTCCATGCACGGTTATTAGAGTGGAAAGATGGCAGTGTGAATGTGTGTATTGTGCGACCCCAATTCAACCTCCTCTTTTATCTGTCCAGGCAGACTCATGAGGTATTCTCATAGGTGACAACACCACACTGACTCTGTTATGACAGTCTAGGGCATCTGTTTGAGACACATATGTGTCTGTGTTTGTGTGTCTGTGTGTGAGAGTGATACAAAGGATTCCTCTGAAGTTCAGTCACCTCACTCTCATTATATCCAACAGACACTCAAAGATGAGTGTCTTTGAAATGTAAAAGAAAAAAAGAACCATCCAAACTAGACTTCCTTAATGACAGTATCCCATCAAAGCTGGAAGGAACACATGCACATCATACAGCTTCTATGTATAATACAAATTCATATTTGTGAATGTGAAAAATATCATTTTGAAATGCAGAAAAATGTCAGAGCCTAAAATTAAAGATCTAATCTTAGCATAGAGACAGACACTAAAGGTTCACCACAACTGCATGGTCCTCCCTTTTCCTAAATTGCTCTGTGGGTTTTATGGAGACAACAACGCAGGAGGCAGAAAGGTCAGAAACAGTGAGGCTGCTACTCAGCCAAGGATGATATTTATCACCCTGACAGCCCCCTTGTTTAAAGACCACCATATGCACTCAGACTTCATGAGCTTGGATCAGTTATGCATCTCTCGTCTCTTGTAACAAGGCTCTTTTATCCAAGTGTTTTGCTCTTCCCGTTCCTCTGATTTTTGAATCTTTTACCTACCCCTGTCTCTGTATCTCTCCCTCCATAATGCCTGCCCTCTCAACAAGAGGCACACACACTCTTAATCATCCCAACTGCAGGGTACAGACAGAGAAAGAGAAAGAATTAATAATTGATCTGCTCTTAGCAGCTCTGTGGCTCACAGGATCCATCAAGTAACAGGGTTAGGAGAAATGAGGAAGAGGAAAAAGAACAAGCAAGCATGAGGCTGTGGTCGTTGGCTAGCCCCTGGGCTGAATGGGATGCTGTTACCATGGTGACAGACCCCTATCCTGTCCCCTTAGAGATGAGCTGAGCAGGTGCGGAGCGAACCCACAAAAGCTAGAGCCTGATTAGTAAAGCAGCAAGGCTTTCAGTGGTTACAAACACTCACATAATGAGCCCTCAGTACTCAGGGTAGGTAGTTAGAAAGAGCTTGCATCAGGGAATAATGATATAAATGGTACAAGGACGGAAGCTTTTTCAAGATTTAGTCAGTAATCCATTAAAAAACCTCCTGTTAAAGAGTTTTATAAGTATTGTTATGTAATGAACAAGAAATTCAACAAATAAATCTATTGTATACTGTTTCCAGAGAAATGCATTGCAAATTAGTCTTGAAAAAACACTCTTTACAAAATCAATCAAGTTCTAGTACTGAGTCTTAAAACCTTAAATAAAGACAGAGAGAGACAGAGTTTGTACCTGCACGCTGCTGTTGCCTATGGTGGTGGCTCTCTTAAAACGTCTGACTAATCCCATGGCCTCGCCCAGTAACATGGCCACCCGACGCTCCATGTTGGCTTGGAAGGTTCTCTCACCCACTTTCTGGTCAAGCACACCCAGGAGCACTAAGTACACAGACAACAGAAATAAGATACAGTGTAAAGACAATCCCATAATTGCTGTAAGTAGTTGTAACAGCATTTCAGCATGCTAGAGTGAAAACTAAAATCCACCGTACCTGTTCTAACCCAGGAGGAGCGAAGCAACTGGCTGGTGTTCAACTCTGGATAATGGAAAGCTGTTGGGAAAAGGAGATGTGTAAGTAGGGTAACGTAACATGGAAATGGCCCAATTATAGTGAGACGATCGTATGGTACTCACGCTCAGCAATCTGCAGTACAGGAAAGCCCATGTAATAGCTGAATTCCACCATGGTGAGCCTCATCAAAGTGGTGCTGACCTCTGACCCCATCAGATAACCCCTAGAACCACGCACAGTGAAGGTGATGTCCACTGGCTGCCTCACCAGCCGTTGTTCCTGATATTTTGGAGCAGCCATGGTGATGTTTACAATCTGAAACACAATTAGACAGAGATATACTATCCACCAGACAGATGATTATACAACAAAATGTTCAAAAACACTTTCCATTCTGCTGTTGATGTAGTTTCTGGGAAAGCTTGTTTGTCTCCTAAGCAGTTGCAATGAAGTTTGCAATCTGAAAATGGTTGGCTTCAGTGATTGGAAAGCAGAACACAAAATTGGGCAGTGTGGCCCAGGGCACAGTTTGCAAGTTGTTCATAAAACATTTCCACGCTGCAACAAATCCTTGATTTAATCCTTACATTTATTCCAACTTTAATACAGGCATCAGTGTAATAGGATTACACAAACCTTTACTGAAGCCAGCTAACCACAAAGCCAAATAAGTTCTTTATTAACAAACAGTAAGATTCTTTAATACTCTACAACTGGAGCATGAACTCCCTCAAGAGCAAGTAGCCAAGTGAAGTATCCTGGGGTTTTTGTTCATGAGTGATAGGAAGATGGAGAGTGAGGCGGATGGGAGGATTGTCCACGGTGAGAGTCATAGTAAGGAAATAGCTAAACTTGAAGGTGCCTGAACCCTCAGCTATGCTCATAACCCTCTGCATGGTGAGCGAAAGAGATGATATTGTGGATACAGCTGGCCAAAATTAGCTTCCTTTGCTGTGTGTCTGTGCTCAAACATTCAAAAGAAGCTTGGAGAAGAATAGCCTCTCTTTTATGTTGAAAGGACCCAGTTGAGTGCGTCTTATCAGGATGGGATCCAACAGTCAGAACTGTAAAAAATGGATGGGGAGGGAGATGTCTTGGCTACTATGCTTACGATGTCAATATTACCACCCAGACCTGATAAATTATGGAAATGGATGGCTGGATATATAGGGAACCACACTAGTAATTAGGTCTTCCAACAAGTAATGATTTTAATAAACTAGCTTTCTCTGATCCCCCAGGCAACCATTTCTGTCACCATTCATTTACTGAAATCTAAAATCCTCACCAATTGGAATTACACAGAAGAGCTCCTGTTTTCAAAGTTATATCACAATTAAAGTCAACCTATGCTGCAGCAGGGTTAGGTTCATCCAGTGGTGAAATAATTGGAAACAAGGTCAGAGAAGTCAATAATGGTTCTTCAGCTTGCTTGCACAAATAGCATCTTTATTTGTATGATAAAAAAAGAAAAATGTCCCTGCTCTCTGGTCCCACTCACATGCACCGTGAAGTTGGTTGACTCCTTTGAGCGACGACGCACTTCTGCAAAGGCCTTGGTCAAACCTTTCTCAATGCTCTCACTGAAGTTGCAATACCTCACATCGATGTGGCTGGGGACAAACTGGAGCACTGCACAGAGTGAAAACATGGAGAGTCTTATAAAGTTACCTCAAAATTTGAAATGCCGACAGTGCAGTGCTTCTGGCAAACATGAAAGACAGATTGTGAAAGGTCATTTACCTGTGTGGACTTGATATTTATTGTTGGGTGTTGTCCAGTTGGGAGACACAGACAGGAACCGGCGCCCAGACCTTCTCAGAGTGTTGATGACAGATATGGCTGTGTACACAACTGGGCCAGACACCACCCGAAACACAAAGTTTGGTGGGGGGTCCACAACCTTCCCAGACAAAGCAGGAACATATGACATAGACAAATCACTCAGTGGTCATTTAGTGGCTTGTGTTAAATAAGCAGCTGATGCTTTTGAAAGGTCACAGTGGCTCTTGTGGATCTACTCTTGTGGTTTGTTTATTACAGAACCACAGATAAAAAAAAAACTCAGGAAGTGGTCTGGCCTTCATGATTCATCTGCACCACTGTAGATGTATATACACAGTCACATAAATACAGTATATACACACACAAAAACCAACACACACACTTACTGTAAGTAAGGGCCAATTACATGACAGCCCAATCACTTCAGAATCACTCTATATTTTAACAGGGTCTCTTAGGTCAAGTGTATTACATTGACATTGTAGATTTTCTAACTACCTTTACTCGGCCACAGAAATAAATGTACCTGCAGCTCCACTGACTTGTTGAATTCTACTTTCAGTATGTCTTTGATTTGAGACTTGGCATATCCAACAGTGGCCCCAGAGGGAAAACCTTCAGAGGAAAGGATAAGGTCATGGTTATAGTCTTACTTCATTATGACAAAGTTCTCATATTTGTATATTTCAATTTCAAACAACAGTTTTAAGTCACAATTTTGATACATCATTTTTCATACATACACAATTTTCATTAATTTCATATTTCATACACGTGAACTACTAAGAGTTGTGTTGTGCAAAATGAAATGTCAAACTTACCAATTTTTACTAAATAAGTAGGCCTGTCAAGGTTGCAGAGGTACGGTCTTGATGTTGGTGCTACAGTTGTGGTCTTTCCGCTGGTGGTAGAGATGATGTTGACACTAGTTGAGGCTTCAGTGGTGGCAGTTATTCTTGTTGTGACTTGATGAGTAGTAGTGGTGGCAGTTGTAGTTGAGGGCACGGCAGAGACTGTAATAGCTTCTCTGCTAGTTGGGATCAAGCTCATTGTGGCTGGGTTGTCAACTCCATTTTCAGTTACCCCCTCATCACCCAAAACGTCTGGGAGACCCAAAGTGACATTCGATGTGGGTTCATTTGAAACTAAAGTAATATTAAGAGTTTGTTCAGTTGTGAAGGTCAAGTTTTGGGGAGTTAATTCTGTTGCACCAGAAGTTGTGTTGGCAACAGGTTCAACTGGAACAGGAGAGAAGGCTGTGGTTGCAGTTAAGACAGGAGTGGTGTGTATGGTACTGTGTAAGACTGTCTCTGTAACAAACCAATGGACATCCGTCATTGACGAGGAAGACATTACATCAACTGGCAGCGCGGGTGTGGCATGGGGTAGTAGATCTTCTGTTAATGCAGTGCTATCCAGGCCAACAGTTAAAGTAGGTGCAGACCAATCTGTGGTGGATACTTTACCACCCCAGATGGAAGAAGAGGGATCAAAGAAGTGGCTTGGGACTATTGAAGGATCTAGAAACGGTTCAGAGACATTGACCAGCTGAGGATTCTTTTCTGTTGTGACTACTGTGGTTGAGTCCTCATGAGGTTCAAACCCTGACAAATCACTCAAGGACTCTTCCTCAGTCAATTTGGTATCATTAGAGAAGCTACTGGTGGGTGTGATGACTGTAGTGCTGATAGACACCACAGTAATGTTCCCTCTCTGTTCAGCTCCAGTGTCTGAACTGTTGTTCTCCTTGGTCAACTGAATGGTGTAATACTCCAAGCTGTTCATATCAGGTAAGAGGACATCTGTTGGTTGGATTGTGAAAGTATCACCCCAATCTATGTCCGATGGGTCAGGTATATCACTGTTAGCTGTGGGAGTAGGCTCCATTGTATAGTGAACTGTGGAGGAAAATGAGGAAGGGTGGATAGATTTTAGTGGGACAATGGTACTGTACGCTGTCATGAGGCTGGGAGACGGTGAGAGGTGAGGAGGATGCAAGGACAAAGGAGATATGCCCACTCTGGAAGGGAAAGATGTATCATAGCTTTCTGTATAGTCTTCTGTATCATATGAGTCAGAGGGCACCTTAGTGACCAAAGAATAGTCATCTCCATCTGAATTTAAGAATGACATTGTCTCCAAGTAGTCCCCAGACCCCCAGTCCAATTCCATGGTGTTGGTGGGGTAGAAGTCCTCTGGAGAGACCTCAGTGGGTTCAGATGAAGGTGATGTAGGATGGGGGGCGATGAAAGGCACATTGTAGCCAGGGGCCAGAATCTCGTCCGAGTTGGGCAGCATGTTTATGCTTTGTGCTGGTTTGTTCTCCAGCAAGGGGGCACTGCTGGGGCTCAACTGGTTCACATCCAAGATGTTACTATAAGATTCATCTGCTGGTGAGTCAGTGTAAGCCAAATTAGGGGGCTCAAGTGGCTGAACAGGTTGTGAGGTCATGACTGCCGGTGTATACTCTGATATAGCACCCGGCTGCTTGCTAAAAGCTGTGAGGGGTGCTTCTGGAGCTTTCTGCTCAGAATTAAAACCAAGCTGAGATGTTGTTGACCTTCTAAAAACAGAGGGGTTTAATGGGGTTCTTGTAGGAGTTGTAGAAAGAGAGGAAGATTGTTTGGCAGAATTTATCTTGGCCAGCTTCCAGTCTGTGGAGCGTTTAGCTGGTGCCTCAAATTGTTGTCTAGAACCCAGTACAGGTTCAGAGGGGCTTAATGATGGAGTGGAAAGAGGATGTGGTTCTTCTGCAACGACGTCACTTGGTGTGAAGGATTTGGAGTTTTCAGAGGCAACATGTCCCCACTGAAAAAGCATGATGTCAGCAGTCCTAGCTTCATGGTTAGGTTCAGTAATGGTTGGCAGGGCACCAGGTGAGTCTGGGCTCTCAAAGGCAGTGTAATGTGAGGCTGGTAAGCCGGATGGTGATGACCCTGTTGAACTTGGAACAGCTCCAAAAAATCCCATGGGGTGGTATGTGGAGTCCAACAAAGACTCATCTGCAGGACGACAATACCTCAGTTTAGTCCAAAATCAACTAAGGATTCATAGCTTCAAACAAAGTAATATACAGGGATGAAAGCTAGACTGATTAAAATTCATTACTACTGAAAGTGAGTTTAAATTTCTTCACGTCTTGATGTAAATAGTTAAGGACTAGATATCTTTATACACAATAACCTGTCAATCTGATTCTTAGATTCAGTGAACTGCACTTTCATCAGTGTACTTTATTCTCTGCACTGGCAAACATCAAACATTTAAAACTGACCACATAACAATACCTCAACTCTTTTGACTATGTAACCAAATTGTTCAGCAGAGAGGCAGGATGAGAGCAAACATGACTGCATGTAGACAGGCGGGCACTCTAAGCTTCATTGTATAACTTGGCATGAACAACAATGGCATCAGATTAGTGGGATGACTTTAGTGAAACAAGACTAGTTCAAAACCTAACATATAGCTGTGTATGATCCATGTGCGAAACTGGGGACATAGTTGAGAAGTGATGTTGAACCACTGTAAACAACTGCTTTCAATGGAAAGTAGCTAAAACCTGCTTAAAAGTCAAATTCCCAAAAAAGCTGTTCTCATTTACATATTTTTTCTAATTCTGTTGTCAAACAATGGAACAAGTTTGAAATAATGACTAAAACGCAGCCAATTAAGACTACATGTTAAACAGCAGTCACTTCCAAGCCATTTCCAAGTTGGTGCTCTGCTGCAGCTAAAATCCATATTTTATAACCTTGACGTCATCTGACATATCACCATACACAGAAATCAAAGACAATGGTGGTGATTTCAGTTATATTTACTTGTAAAATGATCACTCAGAGAGAAAATTAGAATCATAGAGAGGTGTGCCTGTGGAGGGTCGCGCTCTCAGGGCAATACTAGCAACTCTCTTCTACATGAAGTAGACAAGGTTTGTCCAAAAAGTCACTAGATTTGTTGCTATGTGCTTTTTTGAAAAAAAGTCACTAAAGGTGTCTGAAAATGAAAACTGTTGTGGATTCACTGTAAACGCCCCCTGATGATGTAATAGAAAATGTTCATGCCAAAGTCCAACATTCAGTCGAGCATTGGTCTAACGTCATCACAAACTCAACTCTATCACTCACTCACCCACTCACTCAGTCACAGACATTTGGGGATGTAGTACTGGTCCGTGGCCAGAGCAGCCAAAAACTGTCAGGCTCCCTCCCTAAATGGACTGGGCCAAAATGAACACTGATATGTGAGGAAATAACAAAAACTCAAGCTCACAAGGACATTTTATAGGATTACAATTCATCATGAAATGTTTCACTCTAACCCTGATCACCTCTGGGGCAAAGGTTACAGAATGATAAATAGACTGTATAGTAAAGTTGGACACTTTGTTGAATCTGTAGGAGAAAGCTGTGCTGGTTTTTCGGATGTTATATGCAACCTTGGCTTATATTTAGATCAAATCAATACTATATTGACAGCTGAATCTATTGACAACAAATTGGAATTTGAGATCCATGAAACAACGAGCATGGTTTACAGGAAAACACATTACATATTGCAGTATGTAAAAAGTAGCCACCTGACATTTACCACTTCACTCTGCTTGTTTGTGCATTTTGAAGACCTGACCACTAAACTAACTAATGTCCAATTTGCTTAAGTGGCAACAAAATGGATCTATTAATCACAAAGAAAATTCCAATAAGTATGGAAACATTCACAGGCTAATAAAATGCTATTATAAAAAGACCATTCTGGTCTGCACTGGAGAATCATAAGAAAAGCTGACAATGACGATTTTTTCTCACTTTCACTTTTGAACTAAAGCAATATGCTGATGTGCAAGCACTGACCATATGTTCCAAAATGAATGAGTGGTTGTTCTAGCTCAGCATCTCGATGACCTGGGCTTTTTTTCACCATCACACTCAGCAAAGAACATCACCTATCCTTTTTTAAGGTATGTGACCTTTGAGTGACGGATGGTGCAACATCCAGGTCATTAGGAAGCAGCTCCTCTTATCTCTTACTCATAACTTTCAAATCTTAAAGGGTGATATTAGACTTGCCAAAATGTACAAATGGCAAATGCGGCTTTACGCAGTGCATTTACAACTTGCCAAAGGCCTTTCTCTCCATATTGCATAACATAGTGTATCATGCATGATTTAATTTGGATACTGCCTTGATTACACTGCATGTTCATAGTCTTACATGTTCGAGAAAGTCTACATTAGCTGAAGTGAAAGACATAGAATAATTCTTAAATAAATCATGGTAATAGACCTTTTTAAAGTTCTAGGTAGATGTATAAATTTGCCTCTTTTATATGCTGATGTGTTTCATAATTTTTTTTCATGTGAATAATATTCAAAACCTAAACAGAAATTTCATGGTTCTAGTAAAGGAAATTTTATACATGGTTAGCTCTACAGTACTGTGAAGAGCTGATGGTAGATAAACAGGACAGACCGAAGGAAGATGAGATGAGATGCCTACTTACATTAAACGAGATGTTATCTTATGGTTCCTGGAGTTACAGATAATCAAAATGAATCATAATGCGTGCACAGAGAATTTACAAGTATAAACAGACCAAATCAAGCAGAAAACACACAATAATTCTGTTCAATAAGCTCAAGGCAGTCTGCATGTCTTGAATTTGTCCTTGAAAGTGGGTCTTGAACAGAGCAAGACTTTAAAGGGCGCCATTATTGCCATTGCCAGAAGCAAGCCACCACCAATAGCCTCTACATAGTGACTCAGCAGCGGCTGGTAATGCTGCTGCTCTTTGTAGTGTACTGAAGCTCTGCAGATTCATACACACTTGAAAATAGCTGTAAAATCAGCTGAGCGAGAAGACTATTTTTAACACTGGGAGCACAAAACAGATAACTCATAAAAGGCATCTACAAAAACGGATACACTTCTGGAGCGTCACCTTCAATAACTGCATCGCTTCATTCAGGCAGACGGCCTCTGGCTTGGCCCAGGAGAAAACTCCCAACTTAATTACAGCCTACACTGGTACCTTCATCAAGTCAACATGCTATTATAACATGGCCCATAGGAAAGGACTTGGGAAGCAAACCCAAAACTTTCTCCTCTGAAGGCTGGTCTGTGCTGCACATTCTCCACACAGCTCGTCTGCTGTGCCAAGTGTTTGAACCCCGAGGGATGTACCACACAGCTGGGTAGATGCACGCACACATGTGCACACTCTGAACACACCAAATAATGTGCTTCACCATTAATAGTAGGGAAACTGAAAAAGAGGGACTTGCGTCATACAGTTGCCTGTTTGTTGTTGGCCTTATTTCACAATTTTGTAAGGAAGTTATAAATAATCACAAGAACAAAGCATGGAAAGAAGCCACAACATTTGGTATGCTGTGCTCCGTAGAGTCTTCTATACATAACTGTGAGAGTCTAGGCTGTATCAGTTCACACACAGTATCAGACAAAGGGTGAGTAGTCAGTGTTAATAAGTGTGTGGTTCTATGTTCACTGAAACATATATTATACTCATCAATGTCACTTTGCCTTTGGCTGCAAACAACAACAACACATTTTAAATACTACAGTTATATTAAAAGACAACCAAACGCTATATAGACAAGCTCTGTAGGAGACCATGTTTGTGAGAGGAACATGCTAATGTTTGAGGTCATAGTGTGCTACACGACCCCAAAATGTCACCTCGTCTCAGCAGACCCCTACAGTGACAAACTGATTCATTTATAGTCACATTTAGGACGATTCGACATGCATGAATGGATGACAAAACACCCAGCTAATTAAGACAAAGACTACCATTGGCAGGTGATTGATGATAATACTGAGAATTGTACTGATGATGACCATGAGAATGATGAGGATGATGATGATGATGGCAGTTGAGGACAAGAACAAGGAACACAGACAGACAATATTAAGTGGAACCAAAAAAAAAAAATTCCTGTCTTTCACACTGAAGCACAGTGTTCACAAACCTTGCTGAAGTCTAATCTCAGCTTCATGAGGATAATATTTCCATAAAAAATAGAAACAAAACCCTATAAAAAAAAAAAAAAAAAAAAAAAACTGTGCTATACCAAAGCTGAACCATGTTTGTAGAGAGACCTGGCTGGTTTAATAATTAACCAGGCATGATCTTAATTCTTGAGGGCTTATCGTAGGTAATGACAGTCAGAGCTCAGCACAACAGACAGCAGCCACGAAAAGAGCAAGTGAGACCGGTCTAAAGTGAGGCTGACATTACAGTAGACTAAAACTGACAAAGGCCTTGAAGACGAAGCAGCGCTGCCACCTGTCCCCGGAAACACGAGTGTGTCACACTCGACTGGCCACTCATTGTTGGGCCTGTCTCTGAAACTAAGCACTGAGACCCATGTAGAGGGACACCTTCAAATATCAGGTCACGAGAGCAGAAATGTCAAGTGCTTCGCTCATGTAAACGTGTTCCAGTACAGGTTTTCTTATTTCTTCCTCATCTCACTCTCCCAGTCGGTCAGTGAGTCACATTTTCTCCTTCTATAGCAGGTGAATCATTTTCACAACAAATCCTCATTTCACTGGCAACAAAAAACTCATTACAAAAATTAAGTCAGACTGTTATTGTATTAGCAGCCTTTAAAATCTTTATAAAGACTCACCTAAGTAGCTTAAATAAAAAATATTATCCTGCTTCCTAAAAAAGTTAAAATACTCTGTGTCAACTCCACATAAAATGCATGAATGGAAAAATATTTCTCATTACTGTGACAACACTGAAGAATTAATGCAGTGAGAGTTTCATTTATTCATTACATGAAAAATCCCAGGCTAATGAGATTCCATTTCCATTCATCAGGCCTTGATGTGTTTTTGAGCCTACACTTGGTCTAATGAATAGCAGCCTTGTACATGGCACCGAACTAAATTTGCATTTGACCAAATTGACTAATTAACAAACCCTACAAGTCTCTAGTAATTTACTCAGAGCCTTCTACTACATATG